AGATAGAAAAAATAAAAACAAGCATTAGAAATATACCTAAAAACAGCTGTCACAGCAAAAAATAGGAAGAAACAAAGTTATAGGAAGAAATATTGCTCGTCGCTTATGTATGTTTCAATACACTTGACTCCTTCGCGTCTGTAGCAAAATTAAGCCTTTAGCTATAGTTCAGTGCCTTATTATAAAGGAGGAGGGTAAGAACTCTTAATTTAAGAGTTATTTACTTTCTTGAGGTCTTCAAGAACCTTCTGGTCAAAAGCTTTTTGAGCATTTTTGTCAGTCATGAGTGTGGCAAGGATTTCTTTTGTCGCTTGTAAGCTGAGTTCCGATGCTTTTGCCTGGAGACGTTTTGTAGATTCGACTTCAAGACGTTCGATGTTTTCTTCGACCCTTTTCTTTTCTCGGGTTAAGAGCTCGTCTAAGTTTTTGCTGGCGTCTGCTTCAAGGCGCGCCCTTTCTTTTTTGGCATGTTCTAAAATTGCTTTTGCTTGTTCTGTCGCCGATTCTTTTTGTTCTTTGGCGGCTTTTAGGAACGCCTCGGCTTCTTTTCTGGCTTTTTTTGCAGCATCAAGCTCGGTGGCAATAGATTTGGATTGAGCATCTAAGTTGACGAGAATGATTTTTAAAACAGGGCGTCCAATAAGAATCAAAAAAAAGATAAAGCTCAGGAGGAGCCAAAATCCGGGGGTTTGGAGTATATGCAGATCAATCACTGTGAAGCTCGCCGTGTTTGAGATGAAGGGGAAGAGTCATTGGAAAACTTTTGATGCGTGGCTTTTTCGATATGATTACGGGAGAGGGTTCCTCGTGATATTTTTACGATAGACTCTATCGTTAAAGGTTCCAAGTGCTTGAGAATTAAATTCTCGGCTTTTTCTTCTTCTCTTTTCAGTTTTGATTTTGCAGAAGTGAGGCGTTTTTGGATAAGCTCAGAAAACTCAGAGCGTTTTTGTGAAACGTGCAAACGTGATTTTTGAGTAGCCTGATTCACTATTTCATGAGATCTTTCTCTTGCTTCATCCAAAGAGTTTTCACACTCTTGATTAACAGCCTCTGCTTGTTTTTGTAGGTGTTCTGCTTCTTCCTGCATTCCCTCAGTGTGTTCCCAACGTTTTTGTAGGAGTTGGTGAAGACGTGGAATAATGTGATTTTTCAATGTCCAATAAAGGATAGAAAAACAAACAGCAAGCCAAAAAAGCTGTGACGTATAAGTGGACACATCAAGCTGAGGCATTAGGACTCTCCGTTAAGAATATACTTCTTTTAAAAAGTGTAGATTCCTTTTGAAAAGAAGTATGTTGTTAGCTGACAAAGAAGATAATGCAAGCCATCACCATGGCAAACAAAGCCACAGCTTCTGTCATACCTGCGCCAATATAACCGACAGTTGCGAATTTTTTTTCTGCGGAAGGGTTACGCGCGATAGCAGAAATCCAAGCCGAAAAAATGAGACCTAAACCAATTCCGGCACCA